CTCCCTAGTAGCTGGGATTACAGGCATGCATCACCACACCCGACCAATTTTGTGTTTTTAGTAGAGATGGGGTTTCTCTGTGTTGATGAGCCTGGCCTTAAACTCTTGACCTCAGGTGATCCGCCCACCTTAGCCTCACAAAGTTGTTGGGATTACAGGTGTGAGCCACTGCACCCAGCTGGAACCTTTTTTCCCCAGAAAAATCAGTTGACTAAGTGTGGGTCTATTTCTGTGGATTTTATTCCATTAATCATGTCTATGCTTTTACCACTACTATTGTCTTAATTACTGTAGCTTTATAGTAAGTCTTGAAATCAGGTAGGATAAGCTCTGCAGTCTTGTTTTCTAACTATTATATATAAATTTTATTGCTACTTTATCAGTTTTTCAAAAAAGCCTGCTAGAATTTTCTTACAGATTTTTTAAACCCCTACATTATATATTTCAGGAACAAGGAAAACTCAGCTCCATTAGAGGAAAATACCACAGGAAAAAGTGAGGCCAAAAAAAGGAAGATTGCAGAAACTTCAAATGTTATCACTGAGTCATTGCCATCTGCAGAATCAGAACCTGTTGAAATTGAGGTAGAGATTGCTGAAGGCACAATTGAAGTAGAAGATGAAGGCGTTGAAACATTAGAGGAAGTGGCTTCTGCCAAGCAGTCCATAAAGTACATCCAGAGCACAGGTTCCTCTGATGATTCTGCTCTAGCACTGTTGGCAGATATTACCAGCAAGTACCGTCAAGGTGACAGAAAAGGGCAGATTAAAGAAGATGGCTGTGCATCTGACCCCACAAGCAAACAGGTAGAAGGTATTGAAATTGTGGAACTTCAGCTGTCACATGTGAAGGACTTGTTCCATTGTGAGAAATGTAACCGTTCATTTAAATTGTTTTACCATTTTAAGGAACACATGAAATCACACTCCACTGAGAGTTTCAAGTGTGAAATATGCAATAAAAGGTATCTTCGAGAGAGCGCGTGGAAACAGCACCTAAATTGTTACCACCTTGAGGAAGGTGGAGTCAGTAAGAAGCAAAGAACTGGGAAAAAAATTCACGTATGTCAGTACTGTGAGAAGCAGTTTGACCATTTTGGACATTTTAAAGAACATCTTCGAAAACATACAGGTAATTAGTAAATACTAATAGTTTGTTGTGTTTTTTTCCCCCCACATACACTTCAATTTTAAATATCTAAATCCTTTTTTAAAAAGTAGTGCCTCAGGCTGGGCGCAGTGGCTCACGCCTGTAATCCCAGGTACTCAGGAGGCTGAGGCAGGAGAATCACTTGAACACAGGCAGTGCAGGTTGCAGTGAACTGGCCCACATAGTTCTTCATCTACTATTTCAGTCTTCTCCCTGTCAGGAGTCCCTGACCTTGCTCAGGTCTCTTCCTTTCTCCCACTACCCAAGTAATCTTTGCTAGGTCTTCTGCACCAGACACAGTAGCTACCACCAACTAATTGAATCTTAGGTAGTCCCTAAAGCTACTATTACAAGGGTGTGGAGAGAGCAGTTAATACAGCATCCTAAGTGTCACACTCCTGGACATTTGTTCCCAAATCTTTGTTATATGTGGTGTTTAAGGTTGTTTAGACTGTTAATACAGTAAATACAACATAGATATCCTACAGTATTCATAATCTTTCTCTTTGATGCTAGAATTTGGAGAGCTTCTGGTAGAAATTTTTTAAAATAGGTTTCTTATTGTCACTTGGTATATATACATCACTTGAAATTGAGGAACCACATAGATTCAGATGTTATTTCCCTCACTGTCCAAACTCTTACTGTCAGTATTTGAGGACTGAAGAAATACAGGAATAGCAAAGAGATTTTGTACTTTAAGGCTCAGAAGGGATTTAAAAGTCTTCAGGTTACTAGTTTGGGTAACTAATAGGCATTTATGAAATCTTTTGGGAAAATGCTTTCTGATTTCAAACATAGTATATAGAGTCTACTCTTGAACAACATGGGTTTGAACTGCTTGGGTCCACTTATATGCAAATTTTTTTCAGCTACATATGGCTCAAAATTACAGTATTCCCAGGATGCAAAACCCGTGTATGTAGAAGATAAACTTTTAGTATGTGTGGTTTCACAGGGCCAGCTGCAGGACTTGAGTAAACGTGAATTTTGCTATAGGAACCAATCCCTCATGTGTGCCAAGGGATGCCTACCTGTTTTATATAATATTTGGAAACTGCCCATAGTTATACTTTTTGGTCCTTAGAAAATGAATATTTAATAGTCTGTTGGTGAGCATTTTTGTAGTAATTGGATTAATTATGCAAAACGATTGTTATACCAGAAGCACAATAAACAAATGTTGGTAAGTAACTTGCAGACTTTGATAGCGGTTTCCAGTGCTCCAGCAGATAATCAGTAGCTTTTATAGTCTATGAATGTGAAAGTAGCCAGCCACAGTTACCTGTTTTACTTACCACATTACCTACTGACTTTTACCTGTTAGAAAATAGGACAACACGGACCACTTTGGAAATCTTTAAATGTGCCTCTCAAGTCTTACATTTTTTATTTTGGATTTGACAGCAGAATATAGGGTTAAAGTGTATTATGTTGTATGTCTTTGTTTTTCCCTTAGAAATGGTGTCAGATAAGTAATTTAAGTAGTTATAAATTACAGAACTGAACGGGCGCAGTGGCTCACACCTGTAATCCCAGTGCTTTGAGAGGCTGAGGTGGGCAGATCACGAGGTCAGGACTTCGAGACCAGTCTGGCAACATGGTGAAAACCTGTCTCTACTAAAAATATGAAAGATGAGCCAGGTGTGATGGCAGGCGCCTGTAACCCCAGCTACTCAGGAGGCTGAGGCAGGAGAATCACTTGAACCTCAGAGGCGGAGGTTGTGGTGAGCCGAGACTGTGCCACAGCACTCCAGCCTGGGCAAGAGAGCAAGACTCTGTCTAAAAAAGAAAAAAAAATACAGAACCATATACCCATTGGAGGAATAGTTAAGCACGTAAGACAAACTGAACTTTCATTCTTTTTTAACTTTAATTTCTGTACTGGTAATTAGTTCCAAGATAGTTGTAGATATGATTGATGACTTAGTAAATTTAGAAAGAGTGTAAGTATAGGCATACATTGGTGATATTGCAGGTTTAGCTCCAGACCACTGTAAGTAATAAAGCTAATACCACAATAAAGCAAGTCACGCAATTTTTTTCCCCTTGTGCATAAAAGTTACACTTATTCTGTTCTATAGTCTCATGGTGTATACCTAGTTTTAAAATATTTTATTGCTAAAAAATGCAAACAATAATTTTGAGCCTTCAGTGAGTCATAATTTTTTTTGCTATTGGTGAGTGTTGCTCTACTGTTGATTGCTATTAACTGACCAGGGTGGTGGTTGCTGAATGTTGGGGTAGCTGGGGAATTTCTTGAAATAAGATAATGAAGTTTACCCTGCTGACCCTTTCATGAAAGACTTTTCTGAAGCATGCCGTGCTGTTTGATTACATTTTACCCACAATAGAACCTCTTTCAAAATTTGAGTCAGCCCCCTCAGACTCTGCCCCTGCTTTATGTTAAGTTTATGGAATATTATCAATTGTTTGTTGTCATTTCAACAACGTTCACAGCATCTTCATGGGATTCCATCTCAAGAAACCACCTTCTGTTTATCCATAAGAAACAGCTCCTTATCTGCTCAAGTTTTATCATGAAATTGCAGCAGTTCAGTCACATCTTGAGGCTCCACTTCGAATTCTAGTTATCTTGCTCTTTCTACCACATCTACAGTTATTTTCCACACAGAAGCCTTGAACCCCTCAAAGTCATCCGTGAGGGTTGGAATCACCTTCTTCCCAACTCCTGTTAATGTTGACATTTTGACTGTCTTCTGTGAATCACAGCCGTTCTTAATAGCATCTAGAATGGTGAATCCTTTCCAGAAGGCTTTCAATTTACTTTGCTCAAATCTGTTAGAGGAATCACTACATATGGCACCTATAGCCTTACAAAATGTATTTCTTTTTTTTCTTTTTCCCGAAACAGGGTCTCTCACTCTGTTGCCCAGGCTAGAGTACAGTGGCACAATCACAGTCTTGACCTCCTGGGCTCAAGCGATCCTTCTGCCTCAGCTTCCTGAGTAGCACACACTACAGATGTGTGCCACCATGCCCAATTTTTTCTACTTTTTTTTAGTGACGAGGTTTCACCACATTGCCCGGGCTTGGAACATAGGCGTGAGCCACCATGCTCGGCCCCCTGTATTTCTACAGGAATTCCTTTTGTCACCATTCTAGAGGTTAGAAGTTCAAGATCATTCTGTTGGTTTCTTTTGAGACTTCTCTCCTTTGGCTTGGAGGTGTCTGTCTTCTCTCTGTGTCCTTTCATGGTTTATCCTCTATGTGCATGCATCTCTGGTGCAGCCCTGTATTTCTTAATAATTCTTAGTAAGACTAGAAAGTCAAAGTTATTCCTTGATCTTTGGGCTGCAGAATGGCTGTGTGTTAGCAGACTGAAAACAATGTTAATCTCCTTGAACTTCTCCCTCAGAACTCTTGGATGACCAGCTGCATTGTCAGTGAGTAGTAACATTTTGAAAGGAGTCTTCTGAGCAGTAGGTTTCAACAGTGGGCTTAAAATAGTCAATAACCATGATGTAAACAGATGTTCTGTCAACCAAACTTTGTTCTTCCATTTTTGTAGCCCAGCTGGAGTACATGTGATAAGATTGTTAAGGACCCTAGGATTATTTGAGTGGTAAATGAGTGATTGGCTTTATCTTAAAGTCACTAGCTGTGTTAGCTCCCATCAAGAAAGTCATCCTGTCCTTTAAAGCTTTGAAGCTAGTTACTGACATCTTTCTAGCTGTGAAAGCCCTAGATGGTATCTTCCAATACAAAGCTGTTTTGTCTGCATTGAATATCTGTTTAGTGTGGCCACCTTCATCAATGATCTTAACACTAGGTATTCTGGATAACTTGCTACAGTTTCTGCATCAGCATGTGCTTCATTCACATTGCACTTTTATGTTTTAGAGATGGCTTATTTCCTTAAATTTCATTAACCAATCTCTTCTAGCTTCCAGCTTTTCTTGGGCAACTTCTTATTTCTGTCAGCCTTCATAGAATTGAAGAAAGGGCCTTATTCTGGGTTAGGCTTTGGCTAAAGGGAATTTTTGTTTGGTTTAATCTGTTATCCAGGTTACTCACTCTTTCTTTGTATCAGCAGAAGGTGGTTTTGCTTTCTTATCATTCATATGTTCATTAGCGTAGCACTTTTAATTTCCTTAGAGAACTTTTCCTTTTCAGTCATAACTACCTGGCATAGGAGACCTAGCTTTCAGCTTGTCTCAACTTTTGATATGCCTTGCCCTCATAGGCTTCATTACTTCTACCTTTTCGTTTGAAGTGAGAGACATGACTTTTTCACTTAAATACTTAGAGGCTGTTGTGAGGTTATTAATTGGCCTAATTTCAATATTGTTGCCTCTCAAGGAATAGGGAGAGATGAGGGAAAAGCTGGTTGGTGGAATAGTCAGGATACATACAACATTTATCAATTAAGTTCTCCATTATGGGTGTGGTTCAGGGCACCCCAAAATAATTGCAGTAGTAACATCAAAGATCACTGATCACAGATCNGGGAAAGAAGGCTCTGGGCCAGCACTATTCAATGTGGTAGCCACCAGCCACTTGTGGCTGTTGAGCACATGAATGTGGCTATGTGACTGAGGCACATAATTTTTAATTTGAAATACTGTAAGAATTATAGTCACACAGAGACATGAAGCCAAGTACATGCTGTTGGGAAAAATGGCACCAGTAAACTTGCTTGACGTGGGGTTGTCACAAATCTTCAATTTTTCAAAAAGTCCAGTAAAGTGAAGCATAATAAAATGAGGTATATTTTTAAGCAGTTTTAAATTATGTTTAAGTTAATAAAAATGGATTTTTCCCTTGTAACAAACTGTGAAGGCAGGAGATAATCCTCTTCCTGTTTTCTGTCGTCAAAACATATATCCCATTAGTGTCATTTTGCATATTTTTATTAGTTTGGTTTCTTGTATGCTCTTAAAGTATGCACTGTAATCTGTGGCTTGTTTTGTGCAGAGTCTCACTGTGTTGCCCAGGCTGGAATGCAGTGACACGAGCTT